TTGGTCTCAATGTCCCTTCCTGTAAGTAAGTATTCTCGCTCTGTCCACTTTATTAATATTCCATTTTAAAATAGTGGTTCAGGGGACGCCTGAGTAGCTCAGTCCGTTAAGCATGGGACTCTTGACTTAGGCTCAGTTCATGATCCCACGGTTCCTGAGTTCCAGCCCTGCATGGGGCTCTGTTCTGGCAGTGAAGAGCCTGCTTGAGATTCTCTCTGTCTCAAAATAAAAAATAATAAATAAATAAATAAATAAATAAATAAATAGTTCAGATTGCCAGGATTGGAATTCAAACTTCGTAATTTACTAGCTGTGTAAATTTGGGTAAACTGTTTAACCACTCTGCATCTCACGTTCTCCTCTGCAAAATCGAATTAATAGTTCCATAATTGTTAACTATTAAAATTATGATTTTTCTATTATGTTATCTCTGTACTTTTATTTATCTCCTAAAGTTTGACTCTAATAATTATGAATATGTTCCTTTTGAATTCTTTTTAGCTGAACCTTTCTTCCCCAATCCTCTCGCCTCTGTTCTCTCTCCCTCCCAAACTAAGATAAAAACTTGACTGCTATCCATCATTCACCTTTAGATGCCATTCTTTAGTAACTGCTTTTTCTCTCTTCTGCCTGTACCTACTTTTTTGATCTGCCATCAAAAGAGATGTGTCAGTGCATGGGATAATCTCAGTGCAGTGTCCATTTCCTGCTTCCTATTTAATAGTCAACTACGCATTGTGGAAGTTTAGACAAAACAGCATTATTCCAATAGAGGGGACATAGATAGCAATTGTGTCTTAAGAAAGGACAAGGATTACATGGATCAAGTAGAAATTGGTCATTGCAGAATATTAAACCAGGTATTGTTTCATATGTTCATTATTAAATATAATTACTGTGATGTTAATATTCCCACCTAAATAAACAGGTAGGTTTATTTAGAAATACCATCTACATAAAACAAGGTCAGTAACATAATATTGAGTGACATTTGTTATCATCTCATCTGGGATTACAGATTATAACTCTCAAGTGTATGTATCTGTTTTACAGATTTGTGCCATTGTTTAGAAATGTGTGGCTGGATAGGAAAACTCCATCAGTACAACTGACATCTGCCCACAATACACATTCTCCTGGTTTTCAATGTTGGTGTTTTTTAAGTTTATTTCTTTATTTTTGGGGGGGGGAGGGGCAGAAGGAGAGAGGGAGAATTCCACTGTCAGGTGCAGGGCTCAAACTCACAAAAACCATGAGATCATGACCTGAGCTGAAATCAAGAGTCAAATGCTAAACTGACTGAGACACCCAGGCACCCCTCTCCTGGTTTTGAATCTTAGTTCACAGCACAGGATAGTATTGAGAAAAGGGGTTTATCAACATAATACATTAGATGCTCGTAACTCACCTCGTGCCCCATTGACTATGGATGGCCTTCTTCCTGAATGGGAGACATAAGGAATATCCCACCTGGTCCATGATGTCCAATTACTCATAGATCATGAGAAGTAGTAATGTTTACCCTGATTCACATGCATCTACCATGTCTGTTTATCAGTACAAAATAAATAAGAAAATTTCTGCTGGATAAAGAGAAACAGGCCAAATTGCCTGAAACTATTCTACTGGTAAACTAGGTCTGAAAATGCATTTGCTCACTTGGAAATTGCCTTTTCCCCCTCCAGTGGAAAGTAGTAAAGGTACTTAACATTAAGTATTTATAAGGTTTAGGTTTATATGGACTAATGTTCAGCTCTAAACAGGAAAGGGCAGATATCATTACCTAATCTTTTACAGCTACACACAATTCCATGAGGGATGCATTGTACGCTAATGAAAAGAGCAAAGTCTGAAGTCAAACCGGCTTGAATCACATCTCTGAGGATTACTAGTTGGTTAATCTTGGTAGATATGCTTCAGCTCTGTCATTCAAAAATTCTGATTTTATTGTAGCATTGCCATGAGGATTAAAAGACCTGGTGTTTTGTAAGCACTTCCCCAGTGTTAATTTGATTCTCTTATGTGGTATACATAAGGTGTTGCCACTATTGATGCTATCTCCTTACAACTTCCTCTGTGACAAAGAGAGTGGCTGGGAATAAATATCCAACATTTTACATGTAATGGGAATCTTAAACAAAGAAAGACCAGGTTTAATTGTTTCCTCATCTGAAAATTCAAGATTTTATACAGATAGTCAGATACTCTATCTCCAAGAATTATTGAGGATCATAGTTATGTGGCACCCTATCACTTTCAAAAATATTTTCAGAACAATCATGTCCATGTGGCATAAAAATGTGAGCACAGAGCACTCTCTGAAGCATTATTGTTGACACAAAAGAAAGAACCACCAACTCAAAGGGCACTTGCCTTCTGGACTGTGATGTAATGTTTGTTTTTCCCCCAGAGGGATCATATGAACGCACTTTGTAAGTTACACAGTCATAAACTTGCAGTTGCCAAATTTCAACTAGACTTGGTGTGGTTATTCCATCCATGCACTTCTCATTGATCTGCCCCAAATCCAAGTTCACTGGTAGAATTTTAGATCTACTAAGTCCACTTATTCTTCCATGCTCTGAGCAAAGCCTTCTCTGCAAACTCAGAAGCGCAGACTAGAGCTATAGATTAGGCAAGGCGGTGCCATTTCCTCACCTCGGCCTTTGAAGGTGTTATTCTTAAGTCAGAAATAGCCATTATGCCCAGGGCCCAGATTTCTCTATGAAAGTAGTACTAAGCTGAGAGAAACTTTAGCTGAATTGCTATTCAGAAACCCAGGAGAATATTATCTTGTAAAGCCATAGATGTGCAAAAATTCCAACAGCTGCAATCATGCTAACCACATTGTATCTGAGGAAGTTTCATTAAAAGGAAAAGCTAAACAACTTATTACAATGCAATAAAATTACAGTAATTTAAAGATCCCTATATATTAGCTTATTAGATTTTCAGTTGCTTTGTAAGATATCTCTTCCATAGCTGGGTCTCTGGGTACTGTTCCTAAGATGTCTATAGTCTGCCCTCTGATAAATTGGGTTTTCTCCGGGTGTGGTCTATACACTTGAGACTAGTCACTTTGATGTGAAGTATTAATTCCAGGCAGAGAGGCAATATAATATAGTAGTAAAGAATGGATTCTGGGGGCACCTGGGTGGCTCAGTCGGTTAAGTGTCTGACTCTTGATTTCGGCTCAAGTCATGATCTCGTGATTCCTGAGTTTGAGCCCCATGTTGGGCTCCACATTGACAGTGCTTGGGATTCTCTCTCTATCCCTCCTTGTCTCTGCCCCTCCCTTACTCTCTCTCTCTCAAAATAAATAAATAAACTTAAAACAAAGAATGTGGATTTTGCATTTAGACTGCATGGATATGAATCCTAGCTTTGTCACTAATTAGCTATGTGTGATTAAAGGGTACCACATCCTACATTTTGACAGACAGAAATATATAAAAACCTATTTTCTGTGCTTTAAAAAAGTGGTAAACAAGGTTTCCCACCAAAACATTCTTTTCTTTATAAACATTTTTTTACAAAAGTAATTAAAATCATATATGTGTCGGGGCGCCTGGGTGGCTCAGTGTCCGACTTCGGCTCAGGTCATGATTTCACAGTCTGTGAGTTCGAGCCCTGTGTCGGGCTCTGCGCTGACAGCTCAAAGCCTGGAGCCTGCTTCGGATTCTGTGTCTCCCTCTCTCTCTCTCTGCCCCTGCCCCACTAGTAGTCTGTCTTGCTCTCAAAAATAAATAAAACATTAAAAAAAAAATTAAAAATAAATAAATAAAATCATGTATGTGTGCCTATGTGTGTGTGTGTGTGTGTGTGTGTGTGTGTGTGTGTGTATTATGGATTAGCATGTGGCTTCCTCCTCAAAAGAGATAAATACCTGCTATCCCCCAAAGTCATAGACAAGTCTAGAAAAGTTCCAGAAAGTTCTGGAAGGTATTGATAAGGAATGGCATAAATAGCTAATAATGCACATGTAATGATGCAACGGCTTATGTAAGTTTGGGTGTAGCTCACCTGAATAGGGCTGATGCAAGAGCAAACCAATAGATGGTGAGGCGCACCCAGAGTGCTCGGCCTCCCCAGTCAGAACATGGGGCTAGCCAGCCAAGCCATGATGAACATATATCCCCAACTGTCAGGGATTTCGGTCTACCACATAGTGACCATGACCTCACCCCTGGTGAAGATTGGAGTAAAGGCCTTGACAAGCAGAGTCCACCAGACCTGCTGGCTGGAATAAGTGGCAGCCAAGCCACTGAGAGACACTAGTCAGTCCCGAAACAGGTGGTGTGGGCCATCACCAGCTATCTCCTTTTGCTTTCTTGCAGTTGTTGCTTGGCTCATTGAGAGAAATAAATGAGTAAAAGTTGTTAAATGTTATTTGTTAAATAAATGGTCATT